CCTAGTCGAGTGTATCCGTGGCCAATGCCGCGCGCGTTGTGGAGGCCAGCAGACCCTGCGTAGCCTCAGTACCGCCGAATTCCCATCGTATTCGTCGTCAGAGAGATCGTGAACGTCACCAAAGCACGAGCCAGAGGATGGGAAATCAAGAGCCAACACAACAGAGCAGAGATGCGGTGAGGTGCTCAGCGCACGTACAGGGAACGCAGATACGGTTGAGCCGCACTTGACGGTCAGGAGCAAGAGCCATGCCCGGATCGCGCCGGCCTCGCATCTCTTGTCTCCCCATTCCACAACCGTCGGCGAGCTCGATGGACTCTGCACCGACTCCAGCACCAGCTCAGGTGCCCGCAACCGCCAGTGATGACAAGGGCAAGCAGAAAGAACTGCCCGCGCCAGATGCTACTCCAGTGGCCGCGTCAGCCACAGAGCACGCGTTCAAAGTCTACAACCCGCCCGTCGGCCCGTCCACCGCCCTCAGTGAGCTCATATTCATATTATCGGCTATAACGTACTAAACGGCGCGTGCAGGAGACCTGCCCTCGGACGATCTCGTACCAACTGCCGCTGAAGTCCAAGCCGCCTTCCAGGCTGCAGTCCGCAGATCGGACGCGCTCAACAACGCCCCCTTGCGCACAAAGGCCATGCGCGACGCGGAGCAGAAGACCAAGCTGGATCGGTGGCCAAACGTACGCCGTTAACTATACCTGCTTGCCACCGCTGCTGACTTGCCCGTGCAGACAACCATCCGCATTAGGTTTCCAGATCGAACGCAGCTCGAGAAGAGTTTCCCCTCTACAGACAGGATAAAGGCCGTCTATGTCTTTGTGCGCGATTCGCTGGCCGACGAGGTCAAGCCGATCAAGTTCGTACTTTGTACGTTGCACAACATGCACGCGTCGCCGATTTCTGACAAAGACGCAGACCAGAGCCCACCAAAGCGCGAGCTCAAGAACTCTGATCCTGAAGTACGCGATCTGTCGCTCGCACAACTTCAACTCGCCCCATCCTCCGTCTTGCTTCTTCGGTTTGAGGACGAGCGTCTGAACGGTACGCGTCACCTACACTTCGCCACAAGCACGAGTACTGAGCAGAATGCTCCAGCGACCACATTGCGCGCGCCTCTGCGTCCAGACATACTCGCTTTGGCCGAAGACCTTCCAGCTCCGCCGTCGTATGACGCTACGGCTGCATCGTCTGACAAGGGCGTAAAGCTCGGGTCATCGTTGTCTGCCTCAGGGGAGAAGAAGATACCCAAGTGGCTGAAGCTGCCTGGGAGTACGTCCGTTCTTTATTGCATTGTATCACTGGCTAACTTGCGTTCCTTCAGAGAAGTAGAATGCTTGCCGTCTCGAACCATCTGTACCATATCACTCTGCACAGTCAATGCTTCATTAGGAAACGCACACGATCATACTATTCGGCCTATGCGCCGTACATGGGGTCTGACTCTACCACGCCATTCAAGCGAATCATCCCCTTCGTCCAGTGCTCGTTCCCTGCGATGAAGTCCTTCCGCACAACTTTCCCCCTCTGCACGACCTTCCCAGCGCGCTCGACCTTCACATACACGCCCTCCCTCTGCCCATCATAGAACATGGACTTCTCCCCCGCCATGCGCACCAGCTCGTCGTCTGTCGGAAGAGGCCCGCGGTACACCACCGGCGTCAGCTGGATGCCTGTCCCTGTCAACAACCCTTCAAGCAGCTCGCGCGAGACGAAGGACCGCTCGGCACGGTCGTATAGGTCGAATGCAATGAAAAGTGACGGGAGCGCTGTGTATGGAATCGAGTGCGTCGCGGCGAGCCACTCGCCATAAAGGATGTACCGCTCGGGGTACATCGCATCCCGACCTAGCACGCGTAGCAGCGCCGTCTCGTACCGCGTCACCCACGCGCCAAGCCTGCGGAACTGTTCGTGCGACGCAGGGTTCACATAGTGCGAGCGATTCTGAACGACTATGCTTCCAGCGGACGAGAGTGAGAACCCCATGTTCGCGCCGTCTATCTTCTCCGTGATCACCACCTCCTCTTGCGACTGGGTACGAGAGAGAGGTTGGACAATGTCGTCGTCCGTCGCGGCGCCGAGGTTGATCAGGTGCGGCGTGCGCGGGAACTTAAGCAGCGCGCCTCCGTGGGGAGCAAGGCGGCGTACAAGGTCATCTGACGCAGCGAGGCTGCGCACGGTGAGCACGGCGCGGAAGCCCTTCTCGTCCTGTAACGCCGGCGTCTCCAGCATCTCGAGCATCTGCTTGACAGCAGCACGTACGCGTCCACCAGGCGGGAGCGTCGGATGGTCTGGCCTGCTCTGTGCACGAGAGGTGCACAGCTCCGCGGGGAAATCAAAGTATACGCACACAGGGAAGGTCGAGCTGCTCGCCGCAAGATCGAGGAAGCGCCGTCGGTCCTTGACACCCGTATTACAGCGGTCGAGAATCAGGCGTTTCTTGCTGTGCGAACGACCGACAGCGTCTTCGACAGCACCCCGGCTCCTGATCTCGTCCTGTGAGAGCCACACCCACTTGTCCGGCTCGCGCTTAGTGAGCGACTGTGCGAACCAGGACTTGCCGGCGCCGGGGAGACCTACGAGGACGAGCAAGTCGACTTTATCGACCAAGAACTCGCCTTGGATTTCCAGCGGACACGCAGGAGGCTCGGGCACGACCTCTGGGAGAAGCGTCTGGCGCTTCCAGAGTGTGCTGACCCACTTCTGGACGAAGTCTTCCTGCTGCGTCGTCTCGAGACTCCCAGGGCGCATCGCGCGTAGCGCCGCGATAGCTCGTGCGCTCTCCATTGCAGGCGTCGTCCGCCCCGCCTGCTCGGAGCTCGATATGGGAGCGAACCCGAAGGCGGCGAGGTAGCACGCCGCCACAGTACCAGCGCGCCCCTTACCACCGCCACAGTGCACGAGGATGGGGAGGTTACGCTCGTCCGCGAAGAGCCGGACGACAATGTCCATTTGCTCGATACTCGGAGGTCGATAGTTAGGCACGGGGAGGAACGTGTGCCCGATGTCGTGGCCGCGGAACCATGACGCAGCGAGCGGCGTCTCCTCCGTAAGGGTGATAATATGCTTGATACCGACGAGCGGGTGTGCGAGAAGGGCGATGTCGTCGGCGTCCCGTGGCGTGGACATGAGTGCGAAGTGGAAAGGTATAAGCCAGCGGAAGAAGCGCGGAAGACGCGACCAGAACTTGTCCTGCTCAAGCGAGTGGGTGGGCGATGCTACGGGTAGGAAGGGGCGCTGCGTCGAGTCAAGACAGAGGGACGGCAGGTCGCAGCCTTCGGAGTCGTAGACGGCGGACAACATATCGCGGACGTGCTCCGGCCACGGTCTGAACAATAAAGGCGCCAGGTCAGAGGGGACCTGTGCTATCTCGTTCTCCAAGCACACAGCGCCCCATTCAGTGTGTCGACCGCAGACGAGCATTTTCTTCCTACAGTACGCGGCAAGTTTTCCTTCGCCAGACATGAGCGCGAGAGTCTGGCCATACGCCAGCATTGCAAGTTTCCACGATTCCGCCGCGAGTGCGATGTCCGCCAGACGCAGAAAGCCCTTTTCTGAATCTGGGTATCGCAAACACTCCATGCGGGCGTAGTCGCGCGCCTCGGAAGTCTTGCCCTCGAGTACTAGGGAGTATGTCACGTTGTCAAGGAGCTCGAGCGAGGGTTCAGCCGGCCACTGTCCGTCAACGAGCGACGAGATCCCCCTATCACGTACGTTGTTGTCGTCTCGCGCAGAAAGCGGGATGAAGAACTGTCGCGGCGAGAGCCCGATGCGTTTACGAGCGAGCTGGCCCGCATTCCAGACGACAACGAGGAAGAATACACCATTTCGAGCACCTATACCGACTGGGAGAATATGGCGAAGATCCACGTCGCGGGGTAGTTGAGTGTTCGAGCGCCGCAGTTCGAGCAGTTCAGAGCGCGATAGCAGTTCTATCCGGAATGGAGCAGTGCGGGTGTCATGCGTGATCAGGAGTGGAGAGGCGAGGGCGCTGGCCGCCATGTCGTCGACGTCAGCGCCAACGACAGTAGCTGAATCTTGGTCGATACGAAGCTGCATGAGTAAGGAGTGTTACGAGCGATGTTGTTGGTGATTGGCAGACAGGACCAGGTGCAAACGACCTTTATACGAGCTTCAGCGTCGGCGTCGAGTCATGACATTCTCGGCAGGCGGTGACCAGTGTAGCGCAAGCGCGGGACCGCGATGTGCGGCGCTGGGCGCATCAATGAGAGCTCATATAATGACGCTAGCGGTGCGAGAACTAGTCGGACTGTTGCGAGAGAGGCAGCGCAAATCAGGGTTATGAGCGAGCAAGAGAGGTCTGAACACGGTACCGGTCCGGAGCCGATCCGCCGTCTGCTTTACCGTCTGCTGGCCAGCCGCCGATGATCAAGTCCATCAACGTACGTTCAAATCTCACATCGCCCAACGTCTCCCAGCCTCCTTGAAGTCCTTACACAGGGCGAGCGGATCAATCTTGGACCGATATAACTCGAAACTCAATTGGGGCTTTTCCCATTCCGCGAAGTCTGAATGCTGAGAGGGATGAATATGACTCAACTGTGTGCGACGCCGTTGCCTGTTAATGACTCGCCTAAGGTCCGGAAGGCAATTGATTGTGTTTCCCTGGGTGTGATGATGACTACGGTCAAGTGATTCGTCTGGACCTCTCGCGACGCAGGCTGTATGTAGATCGATGTTATTCGCAGATCACATCGCTCTATGCAAAGCTCAGTTTACTCAGACTGGTTCCACAGCGTGTCTCTATAAGCGCAGTATATTCTGCATTGCCGCTGTTAGCTCTTGCATACGTTCGCCGTCAATGTAGCCTTTCCGGTTGTCTGTCCGAATCCGGGCCCTCAACTTGAAGGACATCTTGGAGCACTCTTCACTGACCTTCTCCAGGAGAATCGTTGGCTCATCGGTGGAAACCTGGGATGAACGAGCATCAAAGTCAAAGGTATCATATAAGATAAAATGCCATCCTGTGCATAGCCCTGTTAGCTCAGTGGTAGTAGCGCGTCACTAGTACCGGAGATATTTCGGAGTTATGACGAGGTCACTCGTTCAAGTCGGGTACAGGGCATATCTCCTTTTGCCATTCCAAGAGTGGTGGTAGCTTCTTTTTGTCAAGTTTGCCCTTGGAAATGAGGTTGCGGCCGTCAGGAAAACTGGCGGGACCAGTTGTACGGACTATGCCGATGTGATCGGCAAGTCCGCTGACTCTTGCTCGCTCACGCCCGAGTCCGAATGAGACGCTCTTCGCCCGAGTATGTAAGATGCACTGTCTAAAATCTACAAAGCTACGTACTCTAGGTTACATTCTAACCGCAGGGGAGCAGCATCTCAGCTGCATCTGTCGTTGTAAGAAGAAATGAGCACAGCCCCGGGGGACCCGCAATCGGTGATACTCATTCAAGTCGGGTACGGGGCAGTTACCTTTGACCTTTGCCCGCGCTCAACCGCCTGGCTTCGGACAGAGCCCTTCTCAGACACTCTGAGATGCTCTTCCTATTAGCCACAGGCACTACGAGCACCTTATTTTGGGATACAACGTGAGAACTGTGTACATGATCCGAAAACCTAGTAGTGCACGTTATCTGGACTGTACTTCCTGTTGTCATGCACCCCCCTCCCCCCCAATCAGTGATCTTCTCATGGACTCCAGCAATACGTTTGTCCTTGCTGCAATCGAACAGACCCGTCAAATTCTCGAGAGCTACTACGACAGGACAAGTTGTATCCAATACTTGCCGTCGCAAATCTCTATCGAGTGTTGCCATATCGTTTCAACGTCTGCATCTAGCAGAAATTAGAATGACTGGCTGGTAACTGGAATATTTCTTGCACGACTGACTTCGATGCAGCCTGACTGAACGCTCTAATGCGAGGGTTTGAACACGACGTATTACATGATCCGTTACGATTCAAAAAGGAGCCTCCCCTGGGCTCGCGCTGCGAGGTCCGGCCTGCCTCTTATGGGCGCTCAATTTGGGATACAGCCAGTCGGAATTTAGCAGCGAGGCTTATATATCCATCACCGCCGGGTATAGACGGGACGAAGCCGCACCCGAGATCGACGCAGCACGAGTGAACCAGGGGAGACTCGAACCGCTGACCTTTCGTGAGCGCGCAGCATGTGTTCTCGCATGATAAGACAAGTGTACTTTACCTCTTTACCAAGTTGATTTGTAAATGCCATGAGTCTTCGGCAGTTGTATAGACGTCCGCGGATGTCCGATTCAGGACCGGGCGGGATTCTGTTCGAATCCCTGCCTCGGGGCTATGATTGGCAAGTGTCGTTTCTCTCTCTGCCTTACGCAAAACGTTCACGCGGATGCTGGAGCTGAAGATGAAGCAGCCGGTCTGAAACTCGCCACCGCCAACGTGGAAGCTCCTTGTACACCTTCTCAAGATGCGTGTAGGTCTTGTCGTTGAGGATGTTGAGCTGGCCGGGGTTGGGCTGAACGGCGGTGTGCAGCGGCCAGTTGTCGTTCGACCACCAAGAGTTCTGGCACGTAACGTAACGATGTCCGCATCAATCTGCTGCCAGCCCGCCGCGGAATGGCCAGGCATGTCGATTTCGGGGATGAGGCGGATGGCGCGCTTGCGGGCGTACGTGACGAGGTTCTTGACGTCGGCGCGGGAGTATTGCTCGCGCGCGCTGTACGTGTCCTTGGTCATCTGCGGGTACGTCTTGAGTTGGAGCAGCCACGACTGTCCGCGATATGGAGGTGTAAGGTGCTCAGCTTCGCCAGCCCTATGGCATCCAGCTGCTCCTTGAGGAGGTTCTGCACCGACAGGAAGTTGCGACCTCTTGAAAGAAGAAAAGGCGGAGGAGGAAGTCAGCGATCGCGAGGCCGCACAAGATTGTGCACGCACGAGTCAAGCATGACACCACTAAGGAGGGAGCGTCAGAATCTGATACTACGAGAACGACGTGCTTTCCATACCGATGAGGGTAGTTGGGCTTGTCAACGATGTGCACGGGCTCCTCAACGACGAGTTGACCATCCTCGAGGATAACGAGCTGCTGGAAGGTAGTCAAAGCGTGGAGAGCACCCCACACGGTCGGCGCGGTGATCTCGAGCGCGTTCGAGTCCTTTCCGATGCTGAGAGAGTACGACTCGTCGACACCGAGCTGGAAATCCGCGGACCAGTCCGCAACCTTGATTGTCGCGGTCGTCACGGGAGAGCCAGTGACCTTGCCGGGGTGGCCACGACGGAGGTCCTCGCGATGTTCAAGCGCAGCAGGTGCATCGGTACCAGGGAAGGACTCGAATTTCGGGCTGGGAGTCGGGTACGGGGAGGTTGCCTTTGCCCGTACTCAACCGCCTTGACTCGGGCAGAGCCTTTCTCACACGCTCTGAGACGCTCTTCCTGTAGGCCACAGGCACTACGAGCCCTCTGTATCTTGTGAGATACAACGTGAGAACTGTGCATATTATTGGAAAACCCAGTCGTCCCATCGGCTGTTCTGGCAAGCAGCGTTAACCGTCTTCCGAGTCCTGTTGTACTGTGCCCTTCGTCCTAACGCCTCATTCTTGTGGCTTTCAGCGACACGACCGTTTTTACAATCGAAAAAACCGATCAGATTTCCGAGGGCTACCACGACAGGACAAGTTGTACCGACTACTTGCCGTCGCATATCTCTATCGAGTGTTGCCATATCCTCTCAACGTCTGCATCGGACAAGTTAGGCTTGGTCTTCACATCGTCCCCCTTCGATGAGCGGAAGTGTGCGCCAGTCGGGATCTTTGGGTCAAAGAGCGTATACACCATGTTTTCGCCGCAGGTGATGAGGGACGTGCTGAAGAGAGAGCCCAGGAAGCCGGTAAGTTGTCCGATTCCAAATGGCAGGTCGCGGCTAATTTTCGTGTTCACGACACCAGGGTGCGCATGTGAGAACGAGACCGTCGGATACCGTTTCGCGAGCGCCTGTTTTGGGGCGTCAATATATACTACCACTGTGCTGAGAGAAGGTGCGCACAGCTATTGCACCGTCGTTGTACGTCGTCGCGACGAGGGCTGCGTTTCGCACGCTATAGTCCTTCTCGAGCTTCATGTCGTCTGGTCGCACGCCGGACGGGCCGCCTATCCATGAGTCATATATCGTCAAGACGCGTGCGGGTTCGCCTGCCGCGGATGCCTTCTCAAGAAGAGGCACGAGGTCGCGGGCAAACTTGAAGCGGGAGTAGTAGTGAATGGCGATCTGTGACAAGTCATGAGCATGTACGCGCTCCCTGAAATGCGAACGCACTCGCCTTGTAATCAACGCCGTCCTCAGTGGCTTTACGCCCGGAGAGAGACATGAGACCGGGAGAGAGCACGAGGTAGTTGATCTTTTCCAGGCGCGAGGCGAGGTCGCGCGTCACGATGCCGACGTTGCGCATGCTCGAGACGTCGCATTTAACAAACTCGTATTTCGCGCCGTCGACAGGTTTGGGCAACGACGCGATTATTTCGTTCGCAGCCTCTTCGCTGCGCCCGACGAGAACGATGTGCGCGTTCCCTTGCGTGTACTTGGCGAGCACCTCGGCGACACCGCGACCGCAACCGGATGTGCCACCGACGAGGACCGCGACTGGCCGTATAGACTTGGGGGCGTTTTGCTTGTTGGCGGCGAGGACGGTTAAGAGGGCGGGCATGTTGTGGGAATGATTAATGGGAGATGGATGGGCAGGTTTATATAATCGCATGCAAGCCGCAGCAGTACTCGCGGCGAATCCGGCACGGCGGGATCTTCGCCGCAAAGTCCGACGCGCCGTGCGTGCTTCCGAGCCACCATGTCCGCTGGCTCGTCTGCCCAATCTGCACCAGCACTAGGACCGGACGTGAACCTCGTCGTCGTCTTCGACGCCTCTCTCGCTCTCGGGCTCGAATTCTGGGTCAAATACGCGACGAAATATCTCACCGCCGTCGTCCAGAAGATCCAAGTCAACGATGGCAAGCCACAGGTTCGTCTTCCAATCTAGAATACGTTTGTATATCTGAACACGCGCGCAGCGTACCCCCAACATTGCCTGGGTCTCGTACGGCGCTGCCGACACGCGACCATCGCCTATCCTCACCCGACGCTTCTTCGCGCCGTTGAACCAGACATTCTCGGGTAACGCAGCGAGTTTCTTGGGTCTTGGCCAGGTCGGCGTCCGTGCGAAGGGTGGTTTGGCCCTCCTAGAAGGCCTGGTAGCAGCGCTGGAGGTGAGCACAGGTCTTACCTGGCGATGCGCAACGCTTACACAGCTGCAGTTGTGCGACGCTTGCATCGACCCGCCGCTCATCGAGCAAACCAACAGTCTACACAAGGCTCCGCCTCCCCGCCCGCCAAAGCCGCTTCTACACGTATTATTGTTTGCGGCGCTACCGCCAGACGATGCTATGACCCCGAGCTGGAACACCAACGCGGCATTCGACAACACCACCTGGGAGAGTCTCGGGGATGAGATGAGAAAGGTACGCTACTTCTGTGCACTTCGAACCCCCTCGCTCATGTCTGTACCCAGCGCGAGATCGGCCTCAACATGATACTCACGAGTCCAAGCCCAAAGCTCGCAGATCTCCACAAAGCAGTGAGTTGCAGCTGCGTCCTTTGGCTTCCCTACCTTATTCATTTCTCAGGTTGTCGCAAACCCGACGCCTGCATGGTTCGCTCCTATCGCGCCGGGCCACACATATCATTTCGAGCACTTCACACCTTCCAAAGCGCCGGCCGTTCATCATCCAGGTACGGCTGCCACGCATACTCTTGCAGTCAAGATCAATAACGACTTGTGTAGTAATACAGCCCAAGGTCTTGCAGGAGAACAAGCGCCCGCTCGAGGATCCTGGGATGTCCGCACCAGACGCGAAGCGTCTCAAGCCCTCCGTCAACGCCGCACCTATCGTTCCTCCTGCACCCGCCCCAGCTGTGCCCAAGGTCGAAACCACTCCAGCGAGTGCGAGCTCGACCCCATCCATACCTTCCGTCCCAGACACAACGCAACAGCACAAAGATCTCTTCCTCCTACAACAATACGTCATGCAGAACAACACCCTGCGCGCACATGCTGCCACCCTCTCGAATGCCGAAGCTCAAGGCAAACCTGA